GGTAAAATATTTTTTTAAAATTCTGAATTTTTTGTGGATGTTTGTGTTACTGTCACAAGCATGCTTGACAATTTTCATGCGAAACGGAGCAGTAGTGCTTCGTCAGTGCAAAACAAATTGGGATGACATTTTAGGGTAACATTTGGTGTTCAATTTTGCACAGGCCAAAATGTTCAATCTTTTTGCCTAAAATTTTTTTGTCAGCATTTTGGTGTGACTATGCATACATTAAAAAATTGGTTTTTTTTTTACATTTCAAAAATTATTTTTTGCATGCAGGAGCACGTGCTCCCAGGAGCCAAATTGAATTAGTGGCATTCGTATTCTCTGAATCTACTGTGCTCGCTTGGAGTAGATTAAAGTACAACCACACCACATTCGAGTAGATCTAGAGAATACACGCTCTATACCGAATAATGTCTTTGGAGCAGAGAAACTATGATCCTGTTTTCTTTATTTCAAAGAAACGGGCTTTTATGGCTCACAGAAATCCGTACTTTTTGTACGCAGATATATGAAAATGTGGTATATCCGTATCAATTTTCACTGAGATCCTCATTTTTATGTGACAGATACATAAAAGAAAAATAATAATGAAGGTAAAATGTGAAGTCACCTAGATCATAGGCTACAAAAACCCCCATTTGGCCTACATTCATTTGTCTCTTTCTATTGTGTATCATGTCCAACGAAAGAATTAGTGCCACTACAAAATTAAAATAATAAAGTTTTTGAAGAAAAATGATTTAGTGGCATTGCTATTACCCTTTTAAAAAATGAAAAAATATTATTTTTTCAAAAATAATGACAAAGTGTGTGCACAATTTACACAGAGATTGCACTACTTTATAATATGCAAGAATAAACATACAATAGTGGAACTTTTGCAAAAAAATATCTAACAAGGAATGAACTAGTGACACTGATATTACCCTTAAATAAGAAAGAAAATAAAGTAAAAAGTAAAATAAATAGTCATAATTTGTAAAATAATTTTGCTAATAAAGAATAAACATACAATAGTGATTTTTTGCACAAAATAAATTTTCTAAAGAAAGAAATAGTTAGTGGCATTGGTATTTGAGCCATGGCGTATCTACTTCTAAAAATCAGAATAATAATAATTTCTAATAAAGAATGAATTATTTGCATTATAATTACCCTTTAGGAAGAAAGGAAATAATGCCAAAATTTACACACAATTACGCTGAAATGCGCTTTATATAATGGGAAAGAATAAGCTTATAATAGTAAAAATTCCAAAAAAAATGTTTCCTAACAAGGAATTAATTAGTGGCATTAGTATTACCCTTAAAGAAAATAAAAAATAAAATCAAAACAAATAATTAAAATATTGAAGTTTTCTGAGGAACAATGAATTAGTGGTATCGGTATTACCCTTTAAGAAGAAAGGGAATAACAAAAATTGCACACGGTTTGCATAGGCATCGAATATCTTTTTAAAATATGCAAGAATAAGCATAAAATAGTGTAATTTCGAATAAAAAAGGAGTTGCTAAGGAGGAATGAATTAGTGGCATTGGTATTGACCTTAAAGAAGAAAAAGGTAAAAAAAACTGAACCAAAACCAAAATAATGAAGTTTTCTAAGAAATAATGGATTAGTGGCACTGTTATTACCTTTTAAGAAGAAAGAAAAAATTAATAAACAAATAATGACAAATTTTGCAAACAATTTACACAAAATTGCGCATTTTTATAATATGCAAGAATAAGCATATAATATTGAATTTTCACAAATGGAACTTTCTGAAGAAGAAATTAATTTGTGGCATTGGTATTATCATCATAGAAGAAAGGCAATAAAATAGAAAACAAATAAAAATATTAAATTTTCAAGAAAAAATGAATTAGTGCCTTTGGTATTACCTTTTAAGAAAAAACAATTATAAAAAATAATGAGATTTTCTAAAGAATAATGAACTAGTGACATTGATATTACCCTTTATGAAAAAGTAAAATTAAACAAACAGTGAAAAAATTGCACACAATATACACCAAAAATGTGTTTTTAAAAATTATACAAGAATAAGCAAATAATAGTGGATTTTCCACACACAAAAATTCCAAAGAATGAATTAGTTAGTGGCATTGGTTTTTCCCTCGAAGAAGAAAGGAAACGAAATAATAACAAAAATAAATAAAATAATGAAGTTTTATGAGGAACAGTGTTTAAGAAGCTAACAAAAAAAGTATTACCCTTTAAGAAGAAAGATAACGAAAAAAGTATCACCCTTTAAGAAGAAAGATAAAGAAAAAAGTTTTAAAAAAACTTGCACACAACTTTACTCTAGAATTGCACCTCTTGTAGTATGCAAACAATAATCATATAATAGTGTAATTTCGCACATATTGCATAGTATTTGTGTGTATACATTAACACTCACCTAATATCCAAAAGTACCCACAATACAAAAATAAAAACCAATTGAAAAAAAAAACAGAAAACAAAGGCAAAAACACACAAAAACATTAAAAAAAAACAAAGGGAGAGAGGGAGGGTTGGATCGCATAGTTAGTGGGCTTCGGCCCATTAGCAAATCGACTGGCCGAAATATGTGTGGAGCTAGAAAAAACAAGGTTAGTATAACAAACAACACAGGGCAGAGAAAAAAAATGTAGCCTGAACCTCAGCCAAAAAACAAGGCCAAACAAACAACACAAGCCAGAGAAAATGCAACACGAATCTCAAAGCAAAAATCAACGGCCAAAAAATTGATCAACCCAAATTCAAAATTTAGTTGGCTCACATATGGCTAAAGTGACAAACTGTTGATCCTCATGTGGAGAGTGTGGCACCCACCTACACAACGACATGGTACACCACAAAGGCAATGCAAAGGTCATGGACTCGACAATTTTCCTACAGAATTGCTGGGATTATCCTGTGGCTGTTACCACACGTCTTCACCATTGTCACCATTAGCATGCAGTAAAACCAGAGTGTTGTATCTCCTGCGTATTTTTAGCAACGTTACACTAATATAGTACGGAACCAGCCAGAGAATGCACGCTGATACTGCTGTGGATTTTCTACCTTGCTGCGGCAAAGGCAGAGGGAAATTTGGTTGCCTCCTGCATCATTCAGTCTAACATAAGTGATGATTATGGATGCTGGGGAATCCGGTTGGCACAAAATGAAAAATCTGAGCACCACATTCTCCACACATTCTGCAAGATCAACATTGTGTAACATTTCCCCTGGTATGACAAAGGAAGCTGAAAATGTTGCGATGTTCAAACACGTGCATTTTACAATATTCTGCGTATGTAACAAATAGTTGGGGTATAAACTAGGGGCAATCATAGAGATTATTACATTTTCTTCCTATTCTTGAATCAATAATGTTCTTGAATATCATCTTTATTATAGATTCGCACATGACTTGTCAGAGAAACTCTGTTATATAGGATGTCTATTAAGAAATGGGCCCTCGTTGATAGCGTTTATAAGCGCTAGACTTGTTTTTTCATAGTAATGAACAATTATTTGGCTAATTTCATTAGTATTGTAGTCTGCGTGTTTATGTGAGTGTTTTCGTATATATTGTGTTTTGAAAAGAAGCTGGCTTACAAAACAACAACTCTAGGACGAGCAAATAGCCAAATATACTCAGAGTGGAATGGAACAACAAAAGATTAATTGCGTGAAATCGCAATTTCATCTTCAGTTATTGAGGAAACTGTAAGGCGCTCGCGGAGCTTGTATGCTCCCATGATATAGGAGCAACCGGGCCGTCAAATCTGAGATCCTACGGCCATTCAGAGATGCACGTAATTAGATGAACCCTAGAGAATTTCCTTCGCAAATTTGCGGAAGATCTGCAGGAGAGATCCGATAGCCCAAGTAGGGAGCACCTGATAATCTGTCCGGTTGTTGACTTATTGTACTTGTAACTTGATGTTGGATGCTTGGTGGTATGCTTTATAAGAGGGTGCTTGGATCCAAGGGACTATTTTTAGTCTGACTAAAAATAGTCTTTTTTAGAGGCTAAAGTTCCAAGCACCCATGACTAAAGAGAGGCTAGGACTAGTCTTGAGGCTAAAAATTTTTAGTCATAGAAAACCTACTAAAATATGTATTAGCCCTCTCTCTCATCATTTAATGCCTCTCCTTTAACACATGCGAGTTCTGGATTGGAGGGTTTGAAGAATAATAAATGCTCAATAACTTGATTTTAGTCTCTTTAGTATTTGGATCCAAACATGGGCGAGGCTAGTAAGTTTTAGTCCCACTACTTTTAGTCATGAGACTAAAACGTATCCAAGCACCCTCTAATATAAAGCGGGAGAAACCCTTTTTGTCAACT